AGGAGGCTGGCAGTATCTAGCGCAACAGGTGTTGGGGGTACTGGTTTTGTGACTATGCCGTCTACTTCGTCGGCAGGAAGCACCGCAAAGGTGGCCTCGATGTCAAGATTTGGGTGGAACTCCTCCCATCCTCGCTCCTCTCTGGGCTTGTACCCCTCGCTCTGGACGACAGCGGCCGCCAGGGCTGTTGCTGAACTGTATTGCATATCGTCGAGTTCGTCTCGGTTCACGGCCGTTCGTATCCTCGTGCTTCGTTCTCTGCGCGGATAAACGGTAGGGGAGGGTTGCGCATCGGTCCGGGCTGAGGCTCGCTGTCTGGACACGGTAGTTGCTGGCCCTATATTTTCGGGTGGGACTTCGCCACCATCGTCGTCTAGATATCTCCCACCACCTCCCGGGCCCCCGGGGACATATTTACGCTTCTTCAAGGGGGGTTCTGTTGCCGGGAGGTCTTCTGGAAACTTCCTGACGCGAGACGCGCTGGTTGAGCCGGTGCCCTTGGGCCGCCCTCTGGGACGGCCCCTGGACTGACGTCTCGGCGTTGTTGGCCCTGACGCCATGGCAAAAGGTGAGCAAGGTGGTTATCGGGATAGAAAGTGAGGTAGAGGCTGCTCGGCGATGTCGTCGGCGGGATCAGCGCGTAGTTGTTGCTCGATGCGGGGTCGCTCGAACAGGGCGGGGTTTATTGGCTCGCATTGGTCATGTGTGAAAACCGTGTTCTTTGTCAACGCGGCGGTGTGCCTGCTGGCAGTTGGTGAGCTTATTTCGATGGTGGGTGATGCAAAGTGTCAACGAAACTCGACAAACATTCAGGGCATGTCGTCAAAACGCGTGGTGTAGCTCCACAAAATGATTAGGTAAGAGGAGCTTTTGACAGATGAGGCCCGTGCGTGACCAGGGTGTGGAACACTCAGATGCACGTGCTTTTGAAGATATCCAACTTAGATTCTAGCTTTGGTGTCAAACTCGTAATCACAAAGGTGGCGCGCAATCACTACGAGGTAGAGGAAATATGCACAAATGAAATCCACGTCTCATTCACGTCTTTTTGTAAGAGCAAGACCAGGGAAGCGCATGAGGTTCTAGAACTGCGTGGGGACGCTAGGCCAGTGAATATCACCACAACTGGAGCCCCGCTTGTTCGGTTCGCGACACAATGCTTCCCTCGTGCAGAAGGGTTTGAAAGAGCAGTCCAACGCGCAAAACAAGATCAAATGGGATCGGAAAGGGTCAATTGACTCTGTATATATTTCAATTGCTCTGCAAAACTGTCAGGTGACCCCCATTGGCCCCTCCTCTCCCCATCAGCCCCCTGAATCCATGTTGGTTCCCCTGATGCAGACTCGCCTTGTAGGGCTGAAAGCTGCAAAGCAGTTTCTATTTTGGAGTTCCCAATGACGTGGTCCGCTCCACTCTGCATCTTGAGCAGAGCACCTTTGCGACAGGCCAATGGTTTGGTTTCCTCTGCTCTGGGACTCCAGTCGAGATCGAACTTGCATAACTGCCATCCGGGGGGGTTGTTTTCAATTGCCATCATTGGTCCCAAGCTCTTGGGTCAACTTGAGATCCATCATCCCAATCTTGAACTTTTGATCTCCGGCCTCCGCATTTTGTTGCTTCTTCCTCTGCAATTTTCACCGACTGTGGTCATCTCCAAACATTGCCAACCGCTTGTTCTTTGGACGGTGCCCAACCTCCCTCTTGAAACCCGATGGCACTTCAATCTACATCAATAAAAAAACTTTTCGCACTCTGCCCATAGGGATTTGTGCCGACGAGGTGCTCTAGGTTCGTTGAATCAATCATGACAGCAATCATTCAGATTGACTTGTCCCGAATGGACTAATTGATCAGACAATTGAGTAAAGTGAAAAACAGTAGGTCTGCACAAAGTCACCCTTCGGCGGCATCATAGGTTTTGAAGATTGCGTTGCCCACAGGCTGCCATCCGTAGCCACAAACCACGCTCGCTTGTTATCAACAGCCTGTCAATATTGGAACGTCACACAGCATCCTAGGCTGCAGCAATGGCCAAGACCTACTCAAACGCATTTTCACAGACCGGTAGTCAGTATGGAAAGTTCCCTTGTTCCCAAGGACATTTTGACAGTCCCGTAAAAGATTGGTTAATCGAAAAGCCATACAAAACACCCTTCCCATAGCAGTCAAAGACCACGCACCTTACGTAGGTTTCATGAGAAAAGGCCACTTTTAGAGTCCTGAGACCAGCTACCTCCTCTTGGTTTGAATGATACATCGCAGAGCTTGCTCGAGAAGCCTCAGCTTTGCCGTGCAGTTCAACATCAAAAATTCCATAAACATCATTACAAAGAAGAAGCGCATCTCGGCATTGTGCCTCCCATCAACTCAACCTCCCCCCCCCCCCCCCAAAAAAAAAGAAATTCATCCTCCACGTGAAGAAAAGAAATTTACGAGATCGAGTATTGGTATGGTGTTGACATCGATGACTGTAACCCCAAAGCTATCTGATGCCAGTTATGGGGCTACTCATTACTCCTTCTTCCAACTGGACTTAGCTACCCCTTCCCGACCACCCCCTCCCCCTCCGCCCCTCCCTCCAGCTTCAACAACAGGCCCAATCCCCACCACCATCACCCCTATCCAGGCAGCAACCCCTCTACTTCCCTCCCGAGACAAGAACATTCGACCCATGTGACTCCCGTCGGCAGTAAACAGCTTTGGTCTCTTATTATGCCATGGCATTCGATTCCAGTTTGATGACTGAACCGGGCTGAAGTGGTCTTTTTTTTTTATATTTTTTTTTATATTTTTTTTTATATTTTTTTTTATATTTTTTTTGGTTATATTTTTCGGTTATATTTTTTTTGTTATTATTTTTTTGTTATTATTTTTTTGTTATATTTTTTTTGTTATATTTTTTTTGTTATAGTTTTTTTAAAAAAAATTGGTAGTAGCCGCCTCGCACCACAGAAAACACAGGAACAGCTCAACAATTAAAGATGTTCAGAATCGAGCACGAGATAGGCGCTCCTAGCGCGATCTCACCCGTATAACTCAGATAGCGTGTGTCATGCCAACCATGCCCTCATTCAGCGTGAGTTTGATTCCAGTTTATCGATAACAATACATGGCCAAATACAACAGAAGAGAGGACTGCGAGACAAGGAATCGAAGCCAGGAAAGACACCTATCCGGATGCTGATTTGGACCATGTTATTCTTCGAGACAGTGGTATATGGCTTGTGTTTTCCGTGTGTGAGGCCTGTGGTTTTGGTACCCATGTTGGCAATGTTTCGGGCATTGGTGACGGATGCGCTGTCCTAGCTATCAGGTACGTCCAAGGTAGGTAGATAATCTCCACCAAGCTAGCTGCGAAAGAGCTTGTGTATTACACGCGTGGTTTAACGTGACTATCAACATGTACCTTGCTTTGTGTCTACAGAAGGGATATACTCGAGGTGGGTGAATCGGATACCAGGAGATAGTTGAGCGAGGCTATGACCATTTGATCAGCGCTGTAATATGGCAAGACATATCGATGCTGAGAAATCCGGAATCGAAGTACACAATCAACCGACAGTTTGCAAGTAAATCAGTACTAATTCGAAAAGTTCTCAATTCAAATTCAAATCTACCACCCCCTATTCTTTCTGCCTTCTTTGTTGCAAAACTAGAGCCCAACCACCAGGGCTGCTCTCCTTGCTTCCCACAACACTCACTCTCTTAGCTGCCGATAACTGGACTGACTCTCTCTGCTCATCTTGAAAACCTCCTTCTAGACCTCGAAATCAAGAAAACCAACACAAAAACACCATCTTTTCCCTGACCACTCCATAAATATGCTTTGATCAAACAACTCAATAACTCAGCATGCAACTTTTACCACCTCCACTCTTGCAAAAAATGCCACTCTAGCAAGTGCAGCAACGAGACAAGAAATCGCACGCAACGACAACCACGAAGACCAAACGCATAAAGGGTCCAGAATATCATCAGAAAAACACCAGCCAGAAAAGAAGGAGCTGAAAGGTGAACATAAACAGAAACAACCACTCTGTCCCAGTCCACCCCCCGAACCTCCCCTTTCATCCCAGCGATATTCATATTTCATCTCATCCTTCTGTACTCTCTCTCTCTCTCTCTTCTCTCTATCTTTCATCTCCCAATTATAACCCCAACCTTTTGTACAAGAAACCCACAACACAAACAACGCCACCAAACCAACATCTATCCCTCTGAAAAAGAAAAGAAGAAAGATGTGTATATAACATATGTTCCAAAGGGCCAAGAAAGAAAGAGGGGTATATAAAGACATTCAAATCCCGCCTGGCAACGAACAAGTCATCACCAACAACAAAGATTGAACATCATCAACAAACAGAAAAAAGCAAAACATGAGAAGAAATGAAGAAAACTTTCTTGACCCGTTGGAACACATGTGTATATAACCACCCACTCCTCTTCCCCCTCTACTGACACCTCCTGTCCCACAATGTATTCTCTCTCCGTCTTTCCTCCAATGATGAATGATGATGAGAAGATGCTGAATGATGCCCGCCCCCGCATTGATGAGAAGAAAAACAAAGCCAAACCCGCAAACTCCCAACGCTATGCTCCTGACAAATGTTAAACACAAAAAACTTTGTATGAACAACGAATATAAAAAACCAAGCCAGCCTCTTTTTCAAGAGGTGGCAGGAAGAGAAAAGGTGGGGATGAAAGATGGTCGAGTAAGCTTTTCCCAGTCCACTGTCGTTGCTGTTGCTTGCTCATCGTCGTTCAATCACTCCAGTCATCGTTCGTCTCTAAAAAAAAAAAACCGAGCAAAATCCAACAGCACATAGCAACATGATCCATCATCAAGACATGAACACATGTTCATTTCCCCCCCTTTCCTTCCCTCCCATATAATGCCCATTCCATCTCCAATTCCCTCCTCTCTGTTTGTGCCATTATAAACTGGCGGGGTATCACAGAATGATGAAAATGATAAGAATTTTCGGCAATAATCTTCTTCTTCAGCCTAGCGTGCGACCGCTGTGGATCGCTTGCACGCTGGCAGCTCGAGGTGTGATTGAGTGGGGTGAGGCAGCGCCAAAGTCTGCCGGCTCGTGATAGTCTGGTGGAAGGCTGGTGGGGTAGCCGCCTTCCTCACTGAGCACGCTGAGATAACCACTCCCGACCTTGCCGCGGAGGGCCTCGATTTTTCTTCGATAGATCTCCCCACCAACGTCCCACTCCGTGTTGTTCTCGCCCGTATCATAGACAGGTGGAAGTTGCGGAATGACGCTGGTGTCGATTCTGGGGACCTCTGGCGCAAGGCCTTGGGGAACTGCAACGGTTTCCCCAAGGACGTTCGCCGTTGGCCGTTGTGTGTCTGGTGGTTGTGAGGTCCGGTAATTGGACTCTGGCTCGAGCACTGCCGTGGTCTTGATACTTGGCACGCGGGTCTGATTGTCGATTGGCTGGGCATGGGGTATAGGGGTATCATTGGTTGCCAGATCGACAATCCGCCGCTTGGGTGCTCTCCGGCGCCGGGTAGAGTTGGTGTTGACCTCGCTCGAAACAGTCTTGGGCTGAGGACGCTCTTTACGAAGGACAGCGGGCTCCTTGATGGGGGCATCATAAAGGATAGCCGGCTTGCTCACATCCACGGCAGGAATCTCCTCGGGTGGCGGCTTGACCACGGGAACAGCAGGAGGCAACGCTGCCCTCTCTACCAGATACCGCTTCTCCGAGTAACTAGGCCCGCTTCCATCGATGGTGATGTCCTCAGTATATCCGGGTGTTTGACGGAAGAGGTTGAAGATGGTGATGCGGTAGTCGCGATGAGTGCGTGTAAAGGGGTTGCCGTCCACATAGATCTCTCGGATCTCGGGAATTCCCGTCAAGCGAGCCAGTTCTGATGGGTCCGTCAGACGGTTGTCCCGCAAGTCTAACCTTTCCAGGGGAAAGAGCTTTTCGATTCCGGCAAGAGACTGCAAGCGGTTGGCTCGGAGGTTGAGGGCAGTGATGGCTGGGAGAGGGTTGCGGGTGAGTGAATGCAGCGAGTCGATCATGCAGTGGGCAAGGTTCAGGGCGCGCAGCGAGGTTAGCGTGGCGACACTGTCGGGGATCTGGGTAAAGAGGTTAGACGACAGGTCGAGGGAGTGCAGGCTGTTGGCCAGTGGTGCCAAACTGGCGGCGGGAATGTTGGTCAAAGAATTATCCGTCAGGCTCAAGTGCTTGAGGAAGCGCCACTTGGAGGCTGGGAGGATGCCCATGGAAAGGAGGTTGGAAGCGCTTCCACGGCCGTTGTGCCACGAGTCCGAGAGACTTGACTGAGAGCTTCCAGAACCAGATCGCCGGATCTTGTAAGAAGATCCGCGCACGTTGGAAGAGCCGTTTCTGGAACTATGAGGCCGACGGGGAGAGTGACTCCGTGGCCGAGTATCCCTTGCTGGTGGTGACTTGAGCTCATCACTGTCAATCCTGACGATCGAAGGCCTCCTGCTGTCGGTGGGAGTCCGGCCCTCTTGGTCTGTCCCAAGTTCACTACTTAGAGAGCCGACAGGAAGATCGTTTGCCGATTTCCGGGCATCAGGGGAACCAGGGGCAGAGGTGGACTTTGGCAAGTCCATGTGCGACACCGTCGGACTTCTCCGAGGGCTGTTCACAGCTCCTGGCCAGGTTGACTGTGTGGTGGGTGATGCTTGGCTCTTGGATGTGCGGCGCCTGCGCTTGTCCATGTCGTCCAAGACAATATCGATCAGGATATCTGCTGGGTCCTCAATGCTGGCACGCTTGAGCGTGAGCGAACGAAGCTGTTCTGAGAGCTTATCCCAACCAAAGAATTGCCTAAAATCGATATCGCTCACCTCCAGTGCCTGGACGTTTTTGAAGACGTACAGAGGCACTGCTGAGTCAAAGGGAAACTCCTCGTAGCCCCTGATGAGACGAGCGCGCCAATCTGGAGCGAGTCTCAGGCAGGGAATCTTGGTAAAGGCGGAGTAGAGGTATTTCAAGTCATTTTGGATCGCCGCCTTTTGCCTTTCTGTTCGAGCGGCGGAAATACCCGATCCGATTCCGAAGCTGGCCCAAAGAGCGGACATGCCTGACATAACGCTCCGAAGACTGGAAACCGAGTGAATGGAGCCGACATCGGAGCCGCGACTCTTGGAACGCTGAGATTGCCCGAGGAAGGAGACATAGTTTCCCGAAGCCGTTGTATCATGCAGATTCTCCAGGCGAATTTTCATGGGCCCGACAGGTATGCTAAGCTCTTCGAATCGGGAGAGCAAATAAAAGAGGTGATGTGGGGTGAGGGCGAGCTTTGCTGATTTTACGCTGTGCGAGGTGAGGTTCAGCGAGCCCAGAGAAAAGGCGGCTGCCAGTGTGCTCGAGGTTGAGGCTGACGTAGCAGGCCGTTCCGGTATTGATGGGGACGTCGGTGCGTTCACAGGGGAAACCGACGAGACACTTTGTGAGGATCCATGGCGAGGTGTCTGCCGCCGAAACTGAAGCGCATTCGCGAGCGCCTTCTCGTGTGTTCGCACAAACGTTGCGAGTTGCTGTTCAGACAAGACAGTTAGCTTGGTTGATGGCGGTGGCAGCAGCAAAGACACCAAACATACCTTGACAAAAAACTCCCCGTCTTCCGAGTCCATTGTGTCGGCTAGTAAGAATGCATGGGGTTATGATGGTGACGATCAAAGGAGCGGATGACTGCACGTCTGGAGCGGGGCGAGGAGGATATCGTTCAAAAACGCTTATCGGATGCCTGCCTGCGATGCAATTATTTTAAACCCTGGCGAAGCTGGGTGGAATTTCTGATGTGGCAAGGGTGGAACAGCAGCCTGCCGAAGTGTCATATGTTAGTCGGTCGATTCGTCACCTCGCACAGATGTGCTGTGTGTTCGGTGAGGAAGTGAGTCTGTGTTTTCCCCCAGCGGAACGTTGGGCAAAGTGTGGAAAAGCAACGAGGTCGGCCAGCCTGTCAGCGAACAATAATAAGGCGGTTCTATCGAGGTACACGGGACGGTCCAGAGACAGTTTCGAGATCGCAATCCGGGTGAAGCCGTCGGTGTTTAAAGACAAGTTGGGCGTAGCACAACGGTCGTTCAAGCTGGCTGACAAGTGGTCAAAAACTAGGTATTGTCTAATCGGTCGGTTGCGGGGAGGGCAGCGGCTGTGCGGCGCGTAATATAAGGTAGGGTGGTTTGCTGGGACAGGACTCCGGGACCCCAACCCGCTTTGTGGTCATGCTCTGGTCGATATATGGCCGATGGGGTTTCAAAACCAAAGACCCGTTTCAAGGCGAATGTTGGTGCATTGCCGGTGTTGACAAGACAAATAAATCTTGATTTTTGTATTTGATATCGCGAGGCAACAGGCAAACAGCCATTTGTGGTTGTTGTGTGTTTCGAGGACTGCGAATGCTGATAACGGTGGTTCGGTGTTGGGCGGTACCAAAGAGGGCGGCTCAGCACGTACCCGTTCCCGGGCACGGCGATATGGCGAGGAATGAACCACAGATCACGCGCAAGCAAGCAGGAGGGGGCGGAGGAGCTGAGAAACCAGTCACCGGATATCGATCCAAAATTCGAGGGGCGGAGGGAGGTGTGTCGGTCTCTCTGGGCGATAGCCGGGGCGGAGGAGTGTGCAGGACGCGGTCGCTCGATAGTTCGCTGGCAGGCTGGACGCAAAACACGGCCAAGGAAAATACAAATGTGAGATATTCAACTTACCGGGAATGGTGGTGGCCGGCGGGAGACCAGACTGTTCGGACCCAATCCGGGGGGGCTCTCGGATTTCTGTCGAAAAAGGCGGCCGGCGGAACGGGTGCCCAAGCAAGCGACAGAGTGAAGTCGAACGCGGGTGCGGGGAAGGGTTGAGTTGGGTAGGTGTGGTGTGGTTCGGTCTGGTGTGCGAGGTGAAGCCGAGTGGAGCCCTTCTGTATTATGTATGGCGAGATAGGTATTAGGGTGAGGGGTTGGGCTGAGGTGAGGTGAGGTGAAGAGTTTTCGACCGACAACAACAACAACAACAACGGCGACGACGTCTTTCTGCTGCTTCTTCCTATCCAGATATCCCGGCGCTACCACCTGCAGGAAAAAAGAGAGAGAGGGAAAAGAAGGGGTCCTCTTGGTGGTGAGGGGGGCAGATAGCGAAATTAAAATACCAATCCAACCACGAGCTGCACCTTGCACGGGGGCACTCCAGATTGGCGGCACTGAAAAAGCAGCGCTACTGCAGAGATGGTGGCGCCTAGTGGTATCGGTGACATGCCTGTCCAGGACTGCCCTCCACTCCTAGGGTCTGCCTGCTGAGGTGCTTCCAAGCCTTGGTTCTTCTCTCTCCTCTCACCAGCTTCGCACTGTGGTTGTGGTCACCCCAGCAAACCGTTTTTTGGTTTTTCTCCATCCGACATCAGGGTCCTGAGTCCCGTCCTGGGTCTTGGGGGTCTTGGGTCTGTCTTGATCACCGGCCGAGTTGTCGGTCGGGTCGAATCCACCAGAGACTCTGGAGATCAATCACCATCTCTTGCGGGTCGAGTGTTTCGCAGCCCGTCTGTCCGATCACTGTGCCTCTCTGATGTACACACTCTCACACTCTCACACTCTCACACTCTTACACACCACTCACCGTCATTTCGCTTTGACTGTTTCCTTGACGACCGCCGGCACCTACCAGACCACCACCACTGCTACCTACCACACTCGGGGCGTCCAAGTCCAACCTACCTATCTATCTACACTAGAAGGCCCCCTGCTGCTCCGTTATTATCTGTCCGACGATATGATATTGAGAAGAATTATGCTATGCTGTCCCATAATCTATGGTTAGTTCAAGACATGCAGCAATGGAATTTCATCAAAGTGCAGCTGGACCTCTCCCTGCCGTCATCTGAACCCAGCCAAGTGCTGGCTGCATCACTGGATTCTCGAGCCAATGGCCGGCATCATGACCATATGCGGGCTTGCAGCGCTTCGGCAGGATGATGCATGTCTCAAGGCTGGTGAGCACTCACAACCTCTGGATGATGCAGCCACTTCAGCGCCCGGCTTGAAGCGCAGCTGCGGCGCTCACGTCGATACGAAAAAAAGGCTGCCTCTGTGAAGCGGTGTAGTATGTTGTGCTGTGGTGGCATAGTGTAAGGTCGTTTGTGGTGGGTGAGAGGTGAGCATTCGCGTTCATCAGCGGCGATATCATATCGGTTGGAGTTTGATATTGATATTGATATCCGGAACGGCGCCGATGAGCGGACGGAACTTCTCGTCAGACATTGATCACAGTACCCAGCACTGTACGGAACTGATTTGGAGCTGAGCAAAGGCTTGGCTGCACGGCAGATCAACAAATCAACCGCCCAAAGGGACTTGCACCATGACTTTTTGTGGCCTGGTGATCTTTCCCATCATGATCCCATTCTGATCACCCGAACTTCCGTGTAGCCGACACATGCTGATGCTCAAACATCTTCTAGAAATCTTTTTTTTGGGGGGGGTGCTGTCCTCGACATCCACAAGCATCACAAGCATCAATGCTGTTTCCCCAGCCCTGGCGCTTTGTTTACTTGCACTCGAACGATGGCCGCTAAAAAGCTCCGGGCCCCGGTAATTAGGTCCTTATGCGTTGCCCCGACTGGCTATAGCACCCAAATTACAGGCCAGCCTAAACATGTCGTCAGATCTTCCGTGCGCACTTATCTCAACCCGCCGCATCTGTGCGGTCTTGGAATTCTAGGATGCTATGTAGCCCAAGATGATATCTCAAGTATAGGGTTGTATACTTACGTGTCGCTGACCTCGAGCAAAGCTTCTCCCGCTCACAACATCCGGAGGGCAATGCGGATTGCCCGATGTTGCCCAGAGCCAAGCCCTGTCGACAAGGTCATCCCATGAACCCTAACATCCAGGGTTCAACGTCAGTCGCCATTCACCTCACGGGCCCCGGCACGCCCACACACTCCCAACGACCTCCCTCTTTAAACACAAGGGCCTTGGCATACCGCCGTGATGCCATCCTTCCAGCATCCCATTGCTTGGATCAAGACGGGATGCCTTTTACCAACCGCTTCAGCCGGAGAAAAAAAAGAAGAGAACGACATTCGAAACATTGTCGTGGAGCCCTGACGTTACTCGATCACGCATGTCTATGACATGTCCGAGTTGGAGATCGATACGGCATTCAACTACCACGACGACTCCATCCTCAACTATCAAGCCAGCGCAGCACTTACACGTTTGTTGACGGGGCGGAATTATGTCATACTCCGCAGCAACCGCAACGCTCTCTCGTTGGTGATTGGGAAGGGTGGCTGAGTGGCATGTCATCCTGCTTCGCGGCTAACCCAACCCTGCAGCAGACAGCGTTGCTTTATCTATCTGCTATGCTCCCCCCACATTCAGAACACTTTACAGCGCTTGTGTGGACACATGGAAGCAACGCTAGGAATGGCTCTTGTCTGGAGAGGAAACCGGGTTGTACGAAAGGGATGGAGAAAGATCTCAGTCGAACACCCTCTTCTTTCTGGTTTGTTCGTTTTTCCCCTCCTCAGCTCGGTGTTGCATAGCCCACAATGCACATTCCTTCCAATGACCTAGAGATACGCCGGCCTGTCAAAGTCTGGCCCGGGAACGTGCATCTCGTGCGACCAACCGGTGGTGTATCGCCAGAAGGTGAGATCTTGCGGGATGGTGCGGGACATTCCGGGAGCGATGTACTATCGAAGATTGCCGCCGGCGGGGTTGATGTTCAGAAACCCAAGTCCCTCCTTATGGAACAAAAGGCTCTGCCTCACGCCAGCATCCTGCGGTCTCACCGCCTCTGAGTCTCGAGTTCCATGTCGAGCAGGATAGGGTTTGTTATGACTGGTTGGTTGAGCTTGAAATACCTCCGAGTGGTCGGCATGGTGCAGGAGTTGCCGGTTCAGGTAGCAAGCCCCTCCTTCAGAGACCAACATCACCACCATCCAAGATGTCTGTTTCTGAGATGCAGATCGGGTCCAGAGGTGTCATAGACCCAAGACAGATATTATCTCTCGATAACCCAACGGAGAAATCAAAGAGAACATCTTCGGCTCAAGACACCAAAGCTCAGCTGGATATGCCCGTCAGCGCCGAAGATCGTTGCTATCCCATGCAGGAGTCTCGCAAGATCATCTTGATCGACTCATTTTCCATCCTCCTCTTTTCCCAGCCCCTCTCTTCTGAACCAGTCGATGAATTTCTTGCAAAAGAGATGCCAAGAATGCACCCACCCATCATCCATCCATCCATCCATCCACCAAACCCACAACCATCGTTTTGAAGCCTTGCAGGTCTCATGCCGTGCCATTCATTTCACTTCTTCTCCCACTTACCTTACCACCAACTCCACACCACCCACCATCTAACATCCTGCTTCCCGTCATGAACAATGCGACATGGGCGGGTGGAAAGTGGGAGTTGTGTCTATGTGGAGTTTTGTGCATTACCCCGCCCTATCCTATCGCGTCCCGACGGCTTCGACCGTTGAGGAATGGAAAAAATGATGCCCTACAAACAGCAGTTGACCTTGTTCAACATCTCGATTATGACGTAGAGAACATCTGATGTTTTGAAGCCAGGTGATGCGGTTCGACATATCCCGGTGTAGACTGCCGTTTGTTCCGATCATGGATGGG